CTCACTCTAGCCGCCGGCCTCTGCTCACTCAAGCCCGCCCGCCTCACTATAGGCCGCCAGCCGCTACTCACTCAAGCCCGCCGTGTATGACCCTGTGTTTTGTTGTGAAAGCGAAACTACTTTGTTTGGTCTTCCAAAAAAGGACACGACTAGAAATCAGTGGCCTAGAGCTGATCCGTGCTGGTCGCTGAGGAAATACACCAACTTCGCGCTGTGGATCGCCGGATCCTCGTTTATAATGGGTTTTAATGTTGTTGTCTGTTGCTCCGGCCGGGACAAGGCATCACAATATGGCAAAGGGCGTAACATTTCCGTCACACACTTGAGGTATTCGACCAATCACAACACACTGGATAGCTGGCCAATCAGAGCACACCTTGCTTTTCAGACCGATGAGCTTTGTAAAAATCGACGCGTTTCAGAAAGGCGGGGCATAGAGGAGAAACAATAATGTACAGTATGTGGAAAATAATGTATTTTTTGAACCTTAAACCGCATAAACACATTTCATTACACCAAATACACAAAATAATGTTCTTTTTAGCAACATCATATGACCCCTTTAATTTTAAACTATTGCTTCTGGCCAGAATACAAGTTCATAATCCATAATAATGCTTCCTCCAGTTAAAAAAAATTCAATCTCCTGTTGTCCGCTCAAATCCACTAACATATTTATTTAGGACTGTTCTCAATTGTAAATGGTGTTTGATTTGTGCATATTTCTCTCCTGATTGAGATGAGACGACTTTTTCGCTGGAGAAAGCATGGAGAGGACACATATTTTAGCCAAAAGCAATGGTTTTAGTTGAAAACCTCTTAATGATGGATTTTTTTTTTTTACAAGCATGCAGGTTGTGGATTACTTACATTACTTGTGGATTATTGTGATGTTTTTTCAGCTGTTTGGACTTTCATTCTGACGGCACCCCTTCACTGCAGAGGATCCGTTGGTGAGCAAGTGATGGGTGAGTACATTTTCATTTTGTTGAACTATTCCTTTAAACCCAAGTGTTGTTCCAACATGGTCCATGATGGCCCAGGCATGTTCATAAACCTATCTTATTTTATTTAGGATCAAGCATATTTAGGTGACAGTTTGCTTGAGCAATGATTACCCCATTGGAAACAGTGTAAGATTGTGATTCAGGATGCATGGACAACAATACCTGAAGAAACTTCCAGCATCTCTTGGTCTCCATGGCTCACAAAAGGCTGGGATTGGGAAAGGTAATAGCAATGCAGCATGTATCTGTTTTTTCCTTGTGTGCTGGACAAAACAGAGTGTTAAACCTGATGTCACCTGAAGTAAAAATAGACACTATCTTCTAGATCCTGACTCGCATGCATGCCCCTGAATGAAACCATGTGATGCTGCTCTCTCCCCTCCGCCCCCACTCTCTCTTTTCCTCTATATAAACAATTCTAAGAAACGCACAATCCACTGTGCAGGCTTTTTCCATCACCCAGCTCAGAAATATCCCAGGCTTTTGGAGCTCATCTTACATTAAGTGTAGCAGACATAACATTTTGCTTGTTTCACTCATATTCACACGTAGGTAATTGTTTTCTTCATGTTCCCCTTGGGAAAGGAGAGAATGTGTGCTTTAATCAAACTGCTTTTCTTCACCGCTCTGACCATCCATGTCCAAGAGAAATTCCTCTGGGCTCTTTCTGTCATAATCTTGCTTTCTCTCTCGCTGTGGTGAATTTTTTCCTGGTTGCTGGTCTCATGTGATTTGCATTGTTCTGGTGTTTATTATTTTGGGGGTTCTTTGGAGAGATTCTGTTTGAAGGTCTGTTTGGTATTCCTGAATGATTATATGAGACCTTCAGTCTAGCTTTTCTCACATTTGATCTAAAATCAGGCTGTGCTAAATAAGAATATTTACATTATACTTTTTATAAAGCTTAATTTTATTGTACCATCAGTATTTTAAAATTGACTGAGAGCCTTTATAGAACTAACGGTTTGTGTTACTTGAATATTGCAGTAGAAGTGCTCCTTGAAACTCTCCAATGATTGGTCTTTTGCGTCATATGACCCCTTACATCAGCACATTTTGGCTGCCCTTAACAGAAACGGTGAATGCATCAAAATTTCGCCCTTGTGAGCAAAATAGAGCACAGTTTTACGATCATTAATTATGAAAGACTAAAAGTAAGCAATGAAGATGCTGGCATAAGGAAATCTACATGAAAATCAATGCTGTGAGGTTCAAGGGCAGGGGGATTCAAGAGAGAGAACGATTTGTAAGTGTTTGGGCTAAAGTTACGTAGTGCGCAAACACTAACACTCGAACACACAACATAGTTATGTAACTGAAGGAGACAGACAGCTTTTAGACCACAGTGTTTCATACCTCACTGGGCTGAGGACATTTTCAGTAACTCACTCTCTTTTTCTCTGTGTCACATAGTGCTTCTTGTTCTAATATTAGGTTGTGACTGTCATAACTCATCTTCTGAAAAAGAAAAGTGATCCACACAGTACTGTTAGTGTCCATGAACAATGCACACACACACACAAACACACACACCCACCCACCAACAAAACCATGTCGAGAGCTCTCCCTGACTTGAGTCTAAAGTGCAAGGGGGAAAAAAACACAAAAATAATAGGATTCTTAAATTGTGCACTCTAAAAAATGCTGGGTTAAATACAACCCAGTGCTGGGTAAAATAGGGACAAACCTAGCAATGTATTTGTATATTTACTAGAAACATAAATAGAGAGTCATATCATATACTCATTTGTCCAAAAATGAAAATTCCAAACCTGTATGACTTTGTTGTATCCTGTCTTCTCGTTTCAGTGTAATGAAATGAATGAAGCTTTTCTTGTATGTTCCACAGAAGAATGAAAGTCGTACAGTTTTGGAATGAAATGAGTAAATAATGAAAGAAATGTCATTGTTTGGTGAACTTTCTTTTTTAGTCGTAGGTAGCAAACAAAGCATACTTTTGTGTCAAACATTAGCTGTCAAAACTGATCTGAATGATTTGTGTACAGATCTGACTACTCTGAATTTCTCTCAAATAATAGTATGATTTTTAAGGATTACTTTTATGGTACTTATAGTTCTTTTGGGTCTGTTTTGAAGCTTAAAAGCTCCAGTCCACATTCATTGTATTGCATTAAAAAAAAAATCAACCAGTACAACCGTAACACCATCTTTTGTGTTCTACCAAAGAAAGAAAATCATACAGGGTTTGGAATGACATTAAGGTGAGCAAAATTTTCATTTCTATCCCACAATAGACAATTTTCACATTTCACATTGCCTTCACTCTCGTTGAATTAGAAACACTCATGCAGCAGTGTGAACTTGTTTTCTGTAATGCCAAGTTAATACAACACAAATTGTACTTTTATAAATGTACATTGCATTTTTTTTTTAATTGTTAGATTTACCATGTTAATAATAACTGTGGAAACGTGCCATCACAGTATGTGAGAAAGGTTTATTGCTTTCATTATGTGGATGCCATTCTTGTGGAAGTCAGTTTTGATCATGTAATTTTTTACCAGAGCTCCATTTTTTAATTGATCCTGGAAGCTGAGTTCACAAACCGCTCACAGGTCTCCACTAACGTCATTACTCCCTAAAACCAAGAGCAGAAATAGCGTACCATCCTCAAGAAAACTTCATGCTGACTTCTCCTTCGATTTCTGTAACAACATTGCATACAAAATCAGTGAAGCATAGTCGATCTCTCTCTCTCTCTCTCTCTCTCTCTCGTCTGTGTGTGTGTGTGTATTTGCTTAATTTTCTAGGGATGTGTTGTAGTACATACAGATGGAAAGATTGTAGAGGAGGAGCTTAATTCAATATTTCATGAAGGACGGTCAGAAGGGGGCCATGGTTTGCGTGATTAGTTTTGTGCTTATATTTGAATTTAGGTACAAAACTGCATGTTTTAGTCGCACCTGCACTGATTGTGAATTCCATGCTCTGTGTTTCTTTCTGTGTGGTGAGGGAGGTAATTGATGGAGTTTTGTGTTGAGCCAGGACTCAGTGCTGTCAGTAATAATAATCATTTATTTAGGGCTCTGTGCTTGCACATGAAGCAGTACTACTATACCAGTCCTCAGACAGACGCTCCTTCTCTGACCCTCATAGTTGGGTGAATAAAGGCTAATGATGTTAAGGAGCTGTTATTGAACTTAAACGGCAAAAGGTGACAGGAGATCAAAGAACTAATAACAGTCCAAATCTCACAAGGTACACCTTGTAACCATGTACTTTAATGTAATTGGATGAATGGTAATTATTAGATGTATGCATTCAGGTCTTACAGAAGAGAGAGAGTAGAGATTTTAACTTTAAACTTGTTTCAGTTGACTGTGAGAGGAAAGCCTTGAGCTAGAAACAAATAAGAGGCCAGAAAGTGTATTTTAGAAGCTTCTATTTATGTATTTGTTTATGTATGTATGTATTTATTTATTTAACTGAAAAAGTCTGAGGAAAGAGAAGTGTTAATAACAAAAATAACATCTAGATCCTATTGCCTGTTTTTGAAAATGTTTCTAAATATCTGTCGGTGACAAATTTGTGTTACAAATTTTAGTTGGCATCTTTTACATTAAAATATTATTTTACAAGCTGATTGGGATGTGTTATGACTCATATCTCAGTTTTGTAAATTCAGTGTTATCAGACAGCCAGGATGAGGCTATACTGCCATCTGTTGGTTGTAGAGCACTATTACCGCCCAAAGTAGACTTACTGTATGCCACCAAACGAAACTAACTAGGGGACTTTGACAAAACCTGGATTGCTGGGGGGAAACAACAACAAAAAAAAGCACACATACAACAACAACGACAACAAAAAGGGGTTATTTACACGCAATCCAACACAGAATGATTAAGAGTAAACTAATTAGTAGCCGTAGCCTATAGTAAGTTAAGAAAAATAAAAAAAAAACGGCGACACCCACCACAGTAAGTTTACTTTACGCGGAAGCAAAAGTGAAAATAAACAGGAGGGCGTGATTCATCTATATACCGTGACTCGCAAGCCATTTCCTCATTAACCAGAAAAATCACGATGGACGAATATTATCCCATCATTGTAGAAGGAAACTGGCAGGCTAAAACTGCTAAAGGTGTGAAAAATAAACTTCAGATTTACTTTCAGAGTAAGAAATCTCAAGGAGGTGACTGCTTCGTGCAATATAATGACGGGAGCAACTCTGCTACGATTCTGTTCAAATCATCTGACAGTAAGTTATTATCATGTTAACAAAATAACATTAATTTTGTTTGTTAAAATGTAATATAAATTTTGAGATCTTGCCATGCCGTTTTGTCAAAACTACTAAAATATCACAATATGATTTTTTTTTTACATGTTCAAGAATCATTTTTTATTACGTTATCATGTTTTTATTTTGTTTTATTGTGTTAGTTATATGCAGTTTGATTGAGATTAATTGGAATGCACAATGAAAAAACATGATTTTTGAAAATGGTTAAAAACGAGAGAGAGTGAAACAGAAACCTCACTTTGAAAAATCATGGAACATGCAAAAAAAAAAAAAAACCATCTAGCTCTATTTGTATGTGTGTGTGTGTGTGTGTGTGTGTGAGAGAGAGAGAGAGAGAGAGAGAGAGAGAGAGAAGTTGTGTGATGTATCTGACTAAATCTGATTGTTTTTATTTCAGTCCGAGATGGCGTGCTCTCCCAGGCAGAACACATTATTACTATTGGCAATCAGCAAATCAAGTTGAAAGTGTACAAACCCAGCACTGGACAAAAGGTGAGTACAGTAAGACTTGTTACAAAATGCACAATTATAGCTCTATAATCCCTGTAGATTGCGTCAAGTCAGTATGGTCTATCATAAAAATCGGAATTTTATTTTATGGTATTCTCATAAAAAAAAGGTATAAAAGCTGTCACTGGGGTGGTACCTTTTTTAAAAGATACACCTTTGTACCTAAATGGTTCATATTAGTACCTCAGTTGTACATATTATTACCTAAAACATACAAAAGTGTACCTAAAGGTACCACCCCAGTGACAGATTTTCTACCTTTTTTTTCCCCTGAGAGTGTACAGCCTTAAACTTGTTTCTTTAGAAAGATGGATGTCTTCATTTTGTTGAAAAGGAGAGAACAAAGAACTTACTCTACATGTTTGGTAGCATTACCCATTTATGTACTCATAAATGCTTTGCATTTTTGTGGTTTCAGACAGAGCAGGCATGTGGATATCAGGAGCCAAGTAAGTAAATCACGTGGACTTTACTCTCTGGCTGCTTACATGGATGTGACCTTTTATTGGTTGGGTTATTTTGCTGTCATTGCTGATGTTCTGACTTACACATTCCTTTACATTGGTGAAGATATCACTTCGGTAGTGACCAAGTAATCCTGTATTATTTTATTGCTTGTAGAGAGACTTAACTGTTTCCATTTACATAAGAAAATGATTTGGTGTAATGCATCTGATGTTTGTGTTCAAGGCCGAGATGGTGTGCTCTCCCAGGCTAAAAATGATATTAACACTACCAGTCACCAAATCGAGACAAAAGTGTGCAAACCCAGTGATGTGGAGAACCAGGCAGACAGCACTGGACAAAGAGTGAGTGGACTAAATACAAATTTAGGACTAACAAAATGCATCAAGTCACTGCTATATAGGAATAGTATGGCCTATAAGAACACTCATTATTCGAAATATTACGCTTTTATGGTTGAGATGTAGATGCATTTTAGAATTTCTGTAGGAAGATGGCTGGTAGTGTTTTCAATTTAAGTAATCACCAATGCTTTGCGCTTGTGTGGTTTCAGACGGAGCAGGCATGTGAATATCAGCAACCAAGTAAGTAAATCATCTGGAAGGATATGCACATGCAATTTTTTTATTGGTTAGGTTATATTACTATTTATAATTATCTTATCTTACTAATTCGGATACAATTTACTCTTCAGTGGTAAAGGCATCAGTTAGGTACTTAACCATCAAAACAATTCAAGATCATTTTGCATGTACTGGGTAAGTTAACTGTAGGGGGATTTAAACGTGTCACTTTTAATTTTCTTGAAGATGTCCTGCAAACTGATGTGGATGTGAAGAAACCTCAAGAGTCAAGTGCTGTGGTCCTGGAGAACCTTCCAGATGATTTTAATCAAGATGTTTTGACTCTTTTGGTGGAGAACATCGGCAGTCTTTCTGAAAATGACTTTAGCATGGAATTAATACCAGAATTAAGAAAAGCAGTTGTGACCTTTAAAAACCCCGGTGGTAAGTTGTTCTACTCCTATAAAAATATATTTACATTTGTTATTTACATAATAGCATTTACATTTTCACATGATAATAATAATAATAGTTGTTGTTGTTATTATTATAACATTATTTTTGTTATCTTATTACTTTTTTTAAAAAGTGTAATGAAATGCAATTTCAGATTTTTACATTTTAAATGTTTCTTGAGGTTAGTTTATAAAGTCTGCAAAGTTTTTTCACCAAAAAAGGTCTAATAATTTTAAATATCATCATCTTCCGTTGTCATTTTCACTCTCTGTGAAAAATACTCAGTTTCAGGGGGCGTTACCTTTTGCAGAAACCTAAGTAAACACCCACTGCTGTGATTGGCTAACTTCATTGCACAATATCCATTGATTTTATTAGCACCACTCAAACAATGATACTCTTGGTGTCTTGATAGCATTAAACACTGGTCTGATGTTTATTACAAACACACTGTAAGATAAAAAAAATATTATACCTATTGCTTCACCTTTATAGACAATTCTTGTCACTACTGTATATTTCATAAAAAAATGCTCCGCTTCACATCATTCCTAACAATGCCCCTTAGCTGTTATAAATTCACTGTAAACCACCGCTTCTTGGGATTTATTGTTTTATTTGGGAAGGCTATGGAAATTATTTTGGAGGTTCAGTATATAGGTTCAACTCTTATATGTGTAAATATTAAGAACATTTTTATTTTCCTTTTCATGACCCCTTTAAATGTGTGCATATGCATAAAAGGTGTCATCATTTATGATATATTTTCCACAGAAAAGAAAAGAAAAGAAAAGAAAAGAAAAGGAAAAAAAACCCCAAAAACCTAGTCATTATTTTAGTTTTCACTAAAAACCTAATCTTGATTTAGCTTTACATTTGCCCCTTTTTGGACTATAGAGGAGTTCTTAGATCTGGAACTCTGGAAGTTAGAATACGTTTACCTGTTGCATATAACTTTTTTTTTGTTAAAATAAAATTGGACTTTTAATTAGTGATGACAAGTTATTGAACAATTTTTTTATTTTGAACTGGTTCTTTTTAGTGCACCTGATTAACCAGTTTACCAAACTGGACTGCATCATTTGAAACAATTTGTGTCCTCTTGTCAGCACTGATCCACAAGTTACTTAAAGGTGACATATCATGAAAATCTGACTTTTTTGTGTTTAAGTGTTATAAATGGGGTCCCCGGTGCATCTCAGAAAATGTGAAAAAGAACAACCCAGTAACTTTGTTTTGGAAAGCCTTTCTCTGCAAGCTTGTGAAAAAATTAGCTGCTCAGATTGCACTGTGACGTAGAAGGGGGATCTTATTATAATATTACCGCCCCTTAATCTGCAAGTTTCCACCCACAACTCTGCCATTGTGTTTTAGCAAGCGACAACGGTGTACCAGTTCTAACGCCATGGCTAAAGTTCGAGCAAAGCATGCTAACGGTTCTGTCTTTGGCTGCACTGTGTGACAGCCGCTTTCTGTGTGCGTGCTTCGGATGTGTGCGCTCAGAGAACCGTATATCAGAAGTTTGAACTGATATGGCTTTAAAACGCATGATATCATCGCGATATACATGATAATCAAAACCAGACAGATGTTTTTTGGTAGAATATCTGAGGTCAGTGTTGCCAGGGTCACGGTTTTCCCCGCACAATTGGGCTATTTTGAAAATGCGGTCGCAGGAAAAATGACAGAGTTGCGGAGTTGTACAGAGTACAGGGTTGCGGTTTTTTGGGCTACTTTTATAATGTACCACGGCCCCCTAAGGTTTATCTATAGACAAAACAAAATTAAAATAGATTCTTTTACTAATGTGTATTATGCAGAGACGGATGTCAAATCACAAATTAGGTGAGTTTCACCCACAGGAGATGTTAAGGCTTTCACACAGCAGAAATAAACATGACAACAGCCAGTCAAAGCATGTCGCTTGTAAGTCTGCATGTTCTGCACATCTCTGTTCAAATGAGTGGCGTAGTTCCGTCTAGGCTATTACACAAACTCAAACACACATGAAGCTTGGTGATTTCAGCGTCTGCGTCTCACTAAATGAGGACATGAACACATGAACTTCATCTCTAGAGCCTCTCCAAGAGTTACTTGAGAGCTCTTCTCCGTTTCATTTGAAAAACCTGACGACAACCGTGAATAAATTTGAACAGAAACATATTACTATGATGTACTTCTCAAAGTTATAATACTATTACTGATATTTTTTCATTCATGTTTTTATATCAAACATAAGGTTTTGTCGAGCAGCATTTTATTTGACCAAAAAATGCAATGTTTTGTTGTAAATTAATTGTTATATATTATCTTCTATTTTAAGATTTTTTAAAGATTAATTAATTTGTTAAAGTTGTATTAGTCCATTTCATTTGACACAATTTTTTAAAGATAAATTTGTATTATCATAAAATACAAAATAAATAAAATAGAAAACACAGAATTTACGAAAAATAAAATGGATTACATGGGGCCCTAAATTCAAAGGTGGCTTAAAGGAGTTTATGAACAACAACAACAAAAAAGTTATGTTTACATTCATTCTCAAGATCTAACAAACACGTGGGAAGTATTTCCTACCATATTAATGGTAAATGAATATTGTGATAAATATTGATATAGTATGATATGGAAAAAATATTTTCTGAATATTTCTGGCCATATCGCCCAGCCCTAATTTTAAAAGTTATCATGAAAAGTACTGAAAAGTAAAATGAAAAAGAGGAAAAGAAAAAAAACAAAAACCAAATTCAATAATTAAAAATGCACATACTACATATAAACAAGTCTCGCAATAATGAAAAACATAGAATAAATAAAATTTAAATGTTTATTTTAAAGTGCATTAATGGAATAACACAGCAAAAAAATTGGGCTAGTTTTCTTTGTTTTTGGACGGGTTTGAGTAAGCTTTTGGCTGGAAATTTTTCTGGGACCTGGCAACCCTGTCAGAGGTACAAGGTGTAAAGGCACAGCTCTATTCTGGAAAAGGTGGCGGGGAGCAGCAGCTCATTTGCATTTAAAGATACATGCACGAAAATAACGTGTTTCTGCTTCCACTCAAAATAAAAAATTCTTTAAATATAAAAAACGTACTTACAGTCTGTGAGTCAGAACAGACTTCCTTGAAATGCGCTGGACACATCTGAATATTTGGGTTGAACTGTTCTGGAACAGTGTTGTAAATACAACTTAACCACTGATTTCTAGTCGTGTCCTTTTTTGGAAGGCCAAACAAAGTAGTTTCGCTTTCACAACGAAACACACAGCGTCACACACGGCGGGCTAGAGTGAGCAGCGGCCGGCGGCCTATAGTGAGGCGGGCGGGCTTGAGTGAGCGGAGGCGGTCGGGCTTGAGAACAGTGCGGCCGGCGGATTCAACGAAGGAGCAGCCGGTGGGCTTGCGCCAACCACATGTGACGACCCCGGGCTGGACTCCGCTTCGTCCACGGTGAAAGCCGATCCGGCGATCCACAGCGTGAAGTTGATGTATTTCCTCAGCGACCAGCACGGATCAGCTCCAGGCATGAATGAAGCGGATATCGTCCTCTTTTGGAAGGCCAAACAAAGTAGTTTCGCTTTCACAACGAATCACACAGCGCCTTCACAACATGGCGGCGGCGGCAACAACAATACATTTTAATAAATTTAGCTAATTCATCCTTAAACTTGGACCTCATTATTGAAGTACAAATCCAAGCACCAGAAGCCTATACTGTAAGTTTTCTTCAATTGAAAAACATGCATTTTCATTCATTCATAGGCTATGGTTGCAAAAACATTTGACATTTTAGTTAAAAAAAATAAGTGCCATTGTTTAAAAAATGCTTTATTGATTGACGTTTCATAGATGTTCAGTTGTTATGCTTTCAAATTTTATGCCATTTGTATGTAATTTCACAGTATTTCACCTCCTAAATTAGGCCTACTGCACTACATGTGCATTTACAATTCTATAATGGTACAATTTTTAATGGTAAAGTTTGACATTTTTTGTATGACATTAAAATTAGATTTAGAATAATTGAACATAAATAGGTTAAGCAAAACAAGTGTGATTATTCTAAAAACTTTTTAACTGCAGGCAGACATACATTTTGGTACAGTACAAATATTTTGAGTGTCCCTTATTCTGTCCCTTATTTTCTTATAAAGAATCACAATTTGTCCCTTATTTCCCACTTCTGAAGTTAATTGGCAACCCTAATGATGATGCAATTATCTTTTTACTCCCCCGACAGAGGCACCTTGCTCAAAAAAAAAAGAAAACCCAAGTCAGTTGTTGGAGATATGCAAGCCAAAAGTAATAGACAAAAAAACGGATAATAGAAAACGAAAGTCGGTTGTGAACTGAAGTGGGCCGGTCTGTGTATTTTCACCTACAGGGATGATAGCATGAAGTATTGATGTCATTACGTGGCGACATAAAAGACCTGATGAAATTTTTTGAATTGATTCATTGAAACCAGCTGCACAAAAGCACCGTTTTGAGAATAAGAATCAAGCTTCCCGTCACTGTTATTATATGAGAGTTTTAATACTGTACTTGTACATACAGTTGCACACATTTGCTTTTGTCACTTGATTAAATGTGTGTGGCACATTCTGTAAAATATTACTTCTTACAGCTACAGGAAAGTTCCTTGAGGACAGCAGGACACATGAAAAGTTCAAGCAGTATAATCTGAGGGCCCGTGCACTGGAGAGAAGCACATGTGTGCGGGTGGAGGATCTTCCAGCTGAGGCTACCAAGATGCTGCTGGAACTGTATTTTGAGAAATGGGGCGGTCCAGTAGAGGAAGTTATCACAATTCCATCAGAGCAAGCAGCCATGATTACCTTTAAGGCGGAAGAAGGTAAATACACGTACAATTGCTGGTAGTCTGCTATTACAGTTACATATTTAGTGATGACACTCCTTTACCTAATTTTGTCAACATCAGTGCATTTATTTATTCTTTTTTAGCCAAAGACAGAGTTTTGAAGCAAGAGAATAACATCGGTGATGTTCCAGTCAAGATATATCCCTACTTTAAATCACTGGATACAATTTTGTATGGTAGCAACAGGCCACAATTGAAGCTGCCTGAACCCATTACAGTCAGTGTACATCCTGCCATCAGGGAGTTCATCCTCAAGAAAGGGCAGATTTCCTCCATGAAAGACCAGATGAGCTCACACTTCTGCCACATAAACATGGACAAACCTGAAGTTTTGCTCAGTCCTGATCCAGCATTACTGAAACAGAAAGGAGTTACCAGAAGACACATTGATGGCTGGAGTAAGAATACCATTGATGCCTTCAAGGAAATCATCTCAAACTACACAACATCTGAGTGGCCGGTGTCACATGCCTTGTGGTCTAAAGTGGAGCGTGATATTAAGAATGTAGTGAAAGATCAGGTTTTCATAGATACGGATGCCTCTAAAGGGGTGCTGACATTGGCAGGAATGACCCATGAGATAATTGGACTGAAACCCATCATAGAGAAATTTTTAGAGAGAGCAACAAATCAAATTGAGAGAGAGAAGAACAGTGTGACTGAATACATGGAGATTTCTCCTGCCATGTACTCTTTGCTTGAACAAGATGGCATAAAAAGTGCTGTTTCTCCACACCTGCACATTGACTACAACAAAAAGATGAACAAACTAATTTTATCAGGGCTTCATACAGACACTCTTGCCTTCAAGAATTGGGTCCTTGAGAAGAAAATAAATATAAAACAGAAGCCCTTACAGATTAACCGTTCAATCCTGGAGTACCTGAGATCAGTGGATTGTGATGAAATGTCCAGAGATCTCTTCATATCTCATGGAATAACTGCTGTCTACACAATCGAAAATGGAGATGTTGTTGTGATTGGAAGCACAGAAAGAGCACTTGCTGAGGCAGAGAAGAGGGTGAATACAGTTCTCACAACCAAAGACCTCACTGTAGAAGATCAGGGTGTCCTTCAAATGCCAGCGTGGCAGGATCTCAAAAAGCAATTGAACGAATTGTTCAATACTTCCAAAAAAACATTTGTGTCTATACACATTTCACAGACAGACAAAGTAATAGTGACTGGATTCAGAGAACCAGTGTTGGAAGTCAGTGAGAACTTAAGAAGTTTTATGGAGGAACACACTAGAATTGAAGAAACGGTTCGTGTCAAATCACATGCAGCATTTGAATTAATAAAAGACAGAAAATCACAAGACTGGCAGCATTTAATTAAGTCTGATAAGATGAAAGTGAATTTTGATTCAAAGAGACCCTGGATCAAACTGTCTGGAGAGCGTACTTTTGTCCAGCCAGCTTTGACCTTCTTTAAAGGGTTGGCAGATGGTCTCTACACGGACACACTGATCATTAAAAAGGCAGGAGCAAAGAAGTACTTCTTGGAGCAGGGTAAAATGATGCTCTCAATGCTGTTGAAGGAAAAAAGATTTGTGGTGGTTCTTCAGGAAGATGATATGCTGGAAGAGGAGGAAGATGCATTTACTGAAGGTAGTTTTGAAGATATTGGTCAGGTCTCTTGTGAGGTTCAGATGCCAGGTGGAGTAACTGTTACTGTCAGGAAGGCGGATATTTGCAAGATCAATGTTGATGCTGTGGTCAATGCTGCTAATGAAGATCTGAAGCACATTGGTGGTGTAGCTTTAGCACTTCTCCAAGCTGCTGGACCAAGTCTGCAGCAAACCTGTGACCAACACACAAAAGCAAATGGGGCTCTGAGGCCTGGAGATGCCTTCATCACTGACGCTGGTCGTCTTCCCTGTAAATATGTGGTGCACGCTGTTGGACCTCGTTTTAGTGATTCAGACAGACGTACCACTGTGCAACGCCTGAGACGTGCTGTGAGGGAAAGTCTGAACCAGGCGTCAAGCAGAAACTGCTCTTCTATTGCAATTCCAGTTATTAGCTCAGGGGTATTTGGTTGTCCTCTTGATCTTTGCACTGAAATAATCGCCAAGGAGGTGCATGGCTACATTGATTATCATAACCACAGAGGCTCCAGTAGCACATTAACTGAAATTCACTTGGTTGACAATAATGGCAGTACTGTGAATGCCATGACTCAAGCTGTCAGAAAGGAGTTTGCTGCATATAACCCCAAAATGACTTCCCCTCATCAAATCAAACCTCATGGGTATAGCAACAATGGACAAGGGTATCGTGGAAGTGGTCGTGGTCATGGTCATGGCCATGGAAACTATGGCCAAAGAAACCAAGAGTTTGAAGACCCCAAAGGTCGTGGTAATAGAGACTTTGAAGGACAAGCACACTGGAGAGGAGAAATCTCAAGCTATGGTGGCAGATCAGATAACTCTGAAGGGTTAACTGTTCTTGAGAGAAAAACTACACAAGAGGGACTAAAAATCACTCTGTGCAAAGGGAACATCCAGGATGCGAGTGTAAGTGAACTGTTAATTAAAAAATCTGACAGAAAGAACATACATAGCAACCATTTACTTCTTAAAGACTTTTATTTAATATTAATGTTTTTAATTAGGCTTTCCCCCCACTTGTTTCCCTATGAAAATACATAAAAATTCTTAAAAGGAAAAAAGTTTGAGTTATAATTAAAAAAAAAAAGTTAAAACCAAGCCAGTGGCTTTGGTCAGTCACACTCTGTGTACCATATTCAAGTGTACCACATACTTTTTTACAGAACAAGCTACACCTCTGCTTAATATGTTGTGCTTCTCAAGTAAATTTGACTATTTTCTATTGTCTCCTTTGTTTCTCCTACAGGCTGATGTCATTGTAAACACTATATCGGAGGACTTGGACCTCAGAAAAGGTGCCATCTCCCAAGCACTCCTTCAGACTGCTGGTCATCAGCTCCAGTCAGAAATCAACACAGCTGCTCGCTTAAACAATGTTAATTATGGTGAAATGGTCATCACAGATGGTTATAAACTGACGTGTCAAAAAGTCTTCCATGTAGTTTGCCCATTTTGGAACGGCTCAGAACTTAAGGTGAGAATAACAATTTTGTCACCCGCTGTTTGTTTTAAACATTAAATGATATTGCACGTGTGTGATATGTAGGCTTCACATTAGATCAGGGATTTTTTAACCTGTCCTGGAGGACCCTCATCACTGCACATTTTGTATGTCTCCCTCATCTAACACACTTGGTTCCATTTATCAGCTAATTTGTAGAGACTGCAAGACCTAAATTGGGTGTCTGGTAAGGGGGACATACAAAATGTGCAGTGCTGAGGGTTCTCCAGGGCAGGTTTGAAAACCCCTGATTAGATGGTACTGTCATTAAAGCAGGGATCTCCAACCCTGCTCCTAGAAAGCTACTGTCCTGCGGATTTCAGCTCCAACACCAGTCAAACACACCTGAACCAGCTAATCAAGGTGTTCAGGGTTATTTGATAATTACAGGCAGGTGTGTTGAAGAAGGGTTGGAACCGAAGCCTGCAGGACGGTGGCTCTCCAGGAGCAGGGATGGAGATCTTGCTTTAAAGATTAAAATAGATATATTTATTTACATTTTAAAAGGTACTCAGTCAGATCATCAGAAATTGCCTGAAAAATGCAGAAACCTGGAGAATGGCGTCAGTCGTATTCCCAGCTATCGGGACTGGGAATCTTAGGTTTCCTAAAGATCTAGTGGCCAGAATCATGCTGACAGAAGTCCAGGAATTTAACTCTACAAACCTTCGAGAGGTAACTGTGATTGTGCACCCTTCTGACAGGGAGAGTGTAGAGGTGAGTGCGAAAATTAGATTCAAGAACCATAAAATCACAGTCAAGTTTTTCCATCTCATACAGTATGACCAAGTCAAGATATGAACTTTTATTGTTTAAACTATAAACTATTTTAATAATTTAACATAGTTGCACATGTTTTCTTGTATATTTCTGTGCTTTATCTATTAGTGCTTCACCAGTGTCTTTAGACATGGGATTCAGGGTCCCATCACAAAAGAAGCACATCGACATGTCAAGATTAAAAAAAACATTTCTGGCAAGTCAGCTCAGACCTCTGGTAACAATTTCTTATTTGATGTCCATCACACTTATTTTTTGAAAATATTTTGCTCAAATATTTATTCTAATAACAAATCTATCCAAATGTCACAGATATATTTAGGATAGTGACAAGAATTTTTTTCCCCCATACATCTACATGTTTTTCTTTAGGGGCCGTTGGCAAAGTCTCCTCTCCCTCTCTTGGGGTGCACACTATGCAGCTGGGTCAAGTGACTCTGGAGGTTTCATCAGGAGACATAACTAAAGAAAAAACTGATGCCATTGTTAACTCCTCAAATCAGACATTTTCACTGAAAGCAGGTTAATCCAACTATACACACTGTCTTACCTGTTTCAATTAATAATTTATTATTTATTTCACATTCAAAGAGAATTATAATATGACAGTTGATTTTACTTTGTAATCCAGGAGTATCCAAGGCCATTTTAGACGCTGCTGGAGTACAAGTGGAACAAGAATGTTCACAGCTTGGTTTGTATTCTTTCAAATGTACAATTATCTTCTTGTTGATGTACATTACCTTTTTGAAGAGATCTAGGAAGATCTCTGATATCAACACTGATCCACAAGTTACTTCATAAAACTTGCTTTAAAACATACCCAACAGTCACCACAAAACGAAATGAGCAAATATGCTAGAGTATGATCATATCATGCCAGTTATTCAGTAGCAATCCATGTGATAGGGAATTGCACATGATAGCGATAGATTTCCCCACACAGGTTTTGCAATGGGTTCAAATTGGTGGGAGCATATTCGCTGTTTTGAACAACAGAAAGCTGCAGTAATGTAATGTGGCCACACCTTAGCAAACAGAACATACTGGAAATATGCATTTTATCAAACAGATTTTTATTAAAACATGAAGTCAAGACATGTACAATGAATGAATTTTACTATTGTGTATGCAAATTTTAAGTTTTTATGAGCTGGATCATGGTTTCTGTAAAAAGACGAGTTGATTAAGACTAGTTTATTTACTTTATTTGCTTTAGACATTTAAACATAGTAAAGAGAGTAAAACATTTGCAAATCATTACTGGGAAACTTATCTAGGATGTTATCAATAGTTGCCATTTAGTTGCAGTGTACAGGATTACTGAAGAAACACCCTTATTGTCATTATTTAATTATTTATTTAATTAATGATAGAGTAATGATAGTTACAAATCAGCTGTGCTTAGACATGACTTGATGTGTTTGAGCATGTATTTTCACCAGCAGGGATAATAACATTAGCTGTTAATGACACCATTATATGATGATGTTATCAAACTGGTGAAACGTAAATTGCCCCCCAAAAAAGAATCAGACTTTCCATCTCTGAGATTGTGTGACATCTTTAATACTTTAGTTGCACATTATTGTTATTATTGTTATTATTGATTAAATGTGTCTGGTATGTTTTTTATGATATGATTTCTGACAGCTGCAGTAAAGTTCCTTGAGGACAGCGGGACACATGAAAAGTTCAAGAAGAATAATCTGAGGGCCCGTGCACTGGAGAGAAGCACAAGTGTGCGAGTGGAGAATCTTCCAGCTGAGGCCAACAACAACAAGATGCTGCTGGAACTGTATTTTGAGAAATGGGGCGGTCCAGTAGAGGAAGTTATCACAATTCCATCAGAGCAAGCAGCCATGATTACCTTTAAGGCGGAAGAAGGTAAATACACGTACAATTGCTGGTAGTCTGCTATTACAGTTACATATTTAGTGATGACACTCCTTTACCTCATTTTGTCAACATCAGTGCATTTATTTATTCTTTTTTAGCCAAAGACAGAGTTTTGAAGCAAGAGAATAACATCGGTGATGTTCCAGTCAAGATATATCCCTACTTTAAATCACTGGATACAATTTTGTATGGTAGCAACAGGCCACAATTGAAGCTGCCTGAACCCATTACAGTCAGTGTACATCCTGCCATCAGGGAGTTCATCCTCAAGAAAGGGCAGATTTCCTCCATGAAAGACCAGATGAGCTCACACTTCTGCCACATAAACATGGACAAACCTGAAGTTTTGCTCAGTCCTGATCCAGCATTACTGAAACAGAAAGGAGTTACCAGAAGACACATTGATGGCTGGAGTAAGAATACCATTGATGCCTTCAAGGAAATCATCTCAAACTACACAACATCTGAGTGGCCGGTGTCACATGCCTTGTGGTCTAAAGTGGAGCGTGATATTAAGAATGTAGTGAAAGATCAGGTTTTCATAGATACGGATGCCTCTAAAGGGGTGCTGACATTGGCAGGAATGACCCATGAGATAATTGGACTGAAACCCATCATAGAGAAATTTTTAGAGAGAGCAACAAATCAAATTGAGAGAGAGAAGAACAGTGTGACTGAATACATGGAGATTTCTCCTGCCATGTACTCTTTGCTTGAACAAGATGGCATAAAAAGTGCTGTTTCTCCACACCTGCACATTGACTACAACAAAAAGATGAACAAACTAATTTTATCAGGGCTTCATACAGACACTCTTGCCTTCAAGAATTGGGTCCTTGAGAAGAAAATAAATATAAAACAGAAGCCCTTACAGATTAACCGTTCAATCCTGGAGTACCTGAGATCAGTGGATTGTGATGAAATGTCCAGAGATCTCTTCATATCTCATGGAATAACTGCTGTCTACACAATCGAAAATGGAGATGTTGTTGTGATTGGAAGCACAGAAAGAGCACTTGCTGAGGCAGAGAAGAGAGTGAATACAGTTCTCACAACCAAAGACCTCACTGTAGAAGATCAGGGTGTCCTTCAAATGCCAGCGTGGCAGGATCTCAAAAAGCAATTGAACGAATTGTTCAATACTTCCAAAAAAACATTTGTGTCTATACACATTTCACAGACAGACAAAGTAATAGTGACTGGATTCAGAGAACCAGTGTTGGAAGTCAGTGAGAACTTAAGAAGTTTTATGGAGGAACACACTAGAATTGAAGAAACGGTTCGTGTCAAATCACATGCAGCATTTGAATTAATAAAAGACAGAAAATCACAAGACTGGCAGCATTTAATTAAGTCTGATAAGATGAAAGTGAATTTTGATTCAAAGAGACCCTGGATCAAACTGTCTGGAGAGCGTACTTTTGTCCAGCCAGCTTTGACCTTCTTTAAAGGGTTGGCAGATGGTCTCTACACGGACACACTGATCATTAAAAAGGCAGGAGCAAAGAAGTACTTCTTGGAGCAGGGTAAAATGATGCTCTCAATGCTGTTGAAGGAAAAAAGATTTGTGGTGGTTCTTCAGGAAGATGATATGCTGGAAGAGGAGGAAGATGCATTTACTGAAGGTAGTTTTGAAGATATTGGTCAGGTCTCTTGTGAGGTTCAGATGCCAGGTGGAGTAACTGTTACTGTCAGGAAGGCGGATATTTGCAAGATCAATGTTGATGCTGTGGTCAATGCTGCTAATGAAGATCTGAAGCACATTGGTGGTGTAGCTTTAGCACTTCTCCAAGCTGCTGGACCAAGTCTGCAGCAAACCTGTGACCAACACACAAAAGCAAATGGGGCTCTGAGGCCTGGAGATGCCTTCATCACTGACGCTGGTCGTCTTCCCTGTAAATATGTGGTGCACGCTGTTGGACCTCGTTTTAGTGATTCAGACAGACGTACCACTGTGCAACGCCTGAGACGTGCTGTGAGGGAAAGTCTGAACCAGGCGTCAAGCAGAAACTGCTCTTCTATTGCAATTCCAGTTATTAGCTCAGGGGTATTTGGTTGTCCTCTTGATCTTTGCACTGAAATAATCGCCAAGGAGGTGCATGGCTACATTGATTATCATAACCACAGAGGCTCCAGTAGCACATTAACTGAAATTCACTTGGTTGACAATAATGGCAGTACTGTGAATGCCATGACTCAAGCTGTCAGAAAGGAGTTTGCTGCATATAACCCCAAAATGACTTCCCCTCATCAAATCAAACCTCATGGGTATAGCAACAATGGACAAGGGTATCGTGGAAGTGGTCGTGGTCATGGTCATGGCCATGGAAACTATGGCCAAAGAAACCAAGAGTTTGAAGACCCCAAAGGTCGTGGTAATAGAGACTTTGAAGGACAAGCACACTGGAGAGGAGAAATCTCAAGCTATGGTGGCAGATCAGATAACTCTGAAGGGTTAACTGTTCTTGAGAGAAAAACTACACAAGAGGGACTAAAAATCACTCTGTGCAAAGGGAACATCCAGGATGCGAGTGTAAGTGAACTGTTAATTAAAAAATCTGACAGAAAGAACATACATAGCAACCATTTACTTCTTAAAGACTTTTATTTAATATTAATGTTTTTAATTAGGCTTTCCCCCCACTTGTTTCCCTATGAAAATACATAAAAATTCTTAAAAGGAAAAAAGTTTGAGTTATAATTAAAAAAAAAAAGTTAAAACCAAGCCAGTGGCTTTGGTCAGTCACACTCTGTGTACCATATTCAAGTGTACCACATACTTTTTTACAGAACAAGCTACACCTCTGCTTAATATGTTGTGCTTCTCAAGTAAATTTGACTATTTTCTATTGTCTCCTTTGTTTCTCCTACAGGCTGATGTCATTGTAAACACTATATCGGAGGACTTGGACCTCAGAAAAGGTGCCATCTCCCAAGCACTCCTTCAGACTGCTGGTCATCAGCTCCAGTCAGAAATCAACACAGCTGCTCGCTTAAACAATGTTAATTATGGTGAAATGGTCATCACAGATGGTTATAAACTGACGTGTCAAAAAGTCTTCCATGTAGTTTGCCCATTTTGGAACGGCTCAGAACTTAAGGTGAGAATAACAATTTTGTCACCCGCTGTTTGTTTTAAACATTAAATGATATTGCACGTGTGTGATATGTAGGCTTCACATTAGATCAGGGATTTTTTAACCTGTCCTGGAGGACCCTCATCACTGCACATTTTGTATGTCTCCCTCATCTAACACACTTGGTTCCATTTATCAGCTAATTTGTAGAGACTGCAAGACCTAAATTGGGTGTCTGGTAAGGGGGACATACAAAATGTGCAGTGCTGAGGGTTCTCCAGGGCAGGTTTGAAAACCCCTGATTAGATGGTACTGTCATTAAAGCAGGGATCTCCAACCCTGCTCCTAGAAAGCTACTGTCCTGCGGATTTCAGCTCCAACACCAGTCAAACACACCTGAACCAGCTAATCAAGGTGTTCAGGGTTATTTGATAATTACAGGCAGGTGTGTTGAAGAAGGGTTGGAACCGAAGCCTGCAGGACGGTGGCTCTCCAGGAGCAGGGATGGAGATCTTGCTTTAAAGATTAAAATAGATATATTTATTTACATTTTAAAAGGTACTCAGTCAGATCATCAGAAATTGCCTGAAAAATGCAGAAACCTGGAGAATGGCGTCAGTCGTATTCCCAGCTATCGGGACTGGGAATCTTAGGTTTCCTAAAGATCTAGTGGCCAGAATCATGCTGACAGAAGTCCAGGAATTTAACTCTACAAACCTTCGAGAGGTAACTGTGATTGTGCACCCTTCTGACAGGGAGAGTGTAGAGGTGAGTGCGAAAATTAGATTCAAGAACCATAAAATCACAGTCAAGTTTTTCCATCTCATA